ACACACACACACACACACACACACACACACACACACACACACACACAGAGTCATGGAAAAAATGATTAGACCACCCTTGTTTTCTTCAGTTTCTTGTTCATTTTCGTGCCTGGTACAACTAAAGGTACATTTGTTTGGAGAAGTATAATGATAACAAAAAAAATAGCTCATAAGAGTTTAATTTATGAGCTGATATCTCGCCACTTTCCATGGTTTTCTTGATAATAACCAAGTTCTTACATCAATAGCTATGGCGTTGTACTGCCAGAAACAGTGCTTTAAGGCATTCCATGTCTTCTTTTCTGTCTGTTTTTGTCACATGATGCACACAGGAGTTAGTACTTGATTGCCCAGATCGTCACTGATCCACCCCCATGTTTTACAGTAGGGGCAAGACAGTCTGCTTTGTATGCTTCTCCAGGCTTCCTCCTAACCAGTAAGTTGGCTGGAGTGGGCATCAACTGAAAATTGGATTCATCACTGAAGAGAACCTTAGCCCAATCATCAACAGTCCAATCCTTGTGATGTCCTTCTAGCAAAGAGTAACCAGGCTTTCCTCTTCCTTTCATTGCTGAAGGGCTTCTTCAGTGCCCTGTGTGACTTCAGACCAGCTTCAAGAAGTCGGTTTCAAACTGTCCTTGCCAAACAAGTCACATTTCTCGACAGTGCCCACTCATTTTTAAGGTTCCTGGAGGTCTGACAACGATTCCTGACACAGGAACGGATGAGTGCACGGTCATCTTGTAGGGTAGAAAAACATCTCCTGCTGAGACCAGCTAGCAATTTGGTAGTACCATGTTGGGCTTGTTTTTTTCTTGGTGTATGAACGACTGTCTTGGAGATCTTTAGTTTTTTCCCTACCCGTCTTTCACTCATGCCCATTTCCAGCAGTGCCAAGATGGCTGCCTTTGTGGCTTCACATGATTCTTTTGTTTTAGGTATTATGTGAGAGCTGACAACTTCTGAGTTGTGCTACGGCTTGAATGTAAGCAGAAAAGAACTCTAGGCCATATATATATATATATATGAACACACTTTAGCAAAATAAACAGTCAGCACAATGGCTGATGAAGGCCTCGTCTCCCAGACGCTGTTGCACCCGCCAAGGAAACTGCAAGTATCAAGCTTCTGTCTCTAAACGGGTGTTTTATGATTACAATTGGCCTTCAGACCAATATTCCAAATTTAACAGATTATCTGCTGCTTCGGGTGAAAAGACTTTTTAAGTCTCCAAGCCACCACTCTGTTCCACATTAGGTTTTCACACTCATATTCTCAACAAGCATTTTCATCATTGTTTGTATTTTATATTTTATGTTTGTTGTTGTTGTTTGTTTGTTTGTTTAGTTAGTAATAAATGTTGTGTGTGTATACAGTTGTTTCCTGTGTTTTCTATGGCTTACATCCAGTCACTTTACGTATGTGATCTTTAGTTACCTAAGCTCTAAGTTAATTCCCTTAACTTTATAGAACACTCTTGACTGAGCACCAAGAGTTAAACAATTTATTAGAATTATTAT